AAGGCCTCCCAACAGCTTCAGCCTGCTGTTCGTATTGCCCGGGATGCAGACCAGACGTGCTGGCTTGGAAAACGCACACCCGTTGGGACCACGGTGTGTGGTTCCTGCTTCCCCCCTTACGTGCCCGATCAGGCACTACACCGACTCTCGTGGTTTTGGAGAACGTCATGCGCCAGTACCTGAATGCACACTAGTGACACATGTCGCACCCCATTGCGACACATCGCCGGTCAAAAAATGACTGGCGAGGGGGAAAACGACGCATGCAGAATTGCGTCACTTGCATAGTCGGCCGAAACCAGCGTGCGTTCAACCCGCCCCCACGATTGTGCGCACCCAGTCGGATCGGTTTGAGCAGCCGAAGGTGTCGATTCAAGATGACGAATCGTCGGCAAACGAATCGGGACTGTGGCTATTGGGGGACATTGGCAAGACGAGGTACTCTCGTGGCTGAGCCTTCCTCTCATGTCGTACGGCGACCTCTAGAGGGACGAGTGGTGTTTCCGATCCTGCGAAGCAGCAGAAGTTGTACCGAGCGCCAGGGTACTTTGGATCTACCGGTATCGCCTTCTCAAGGAAAGGGTAGTTCCTCCAAGGCGAGGACAAACAGGAGGAGTCACCAGGATCTAGAGACCAGGAGATGTTCTGCCGTCGATTCGCCGGGCGGTTGGGACGCACATGGCTCATTCGGTTGTGCCGACCCACACGCAAGCCCCATCAAGGCAACCCTTCGGCCCAACATGTACCCCGACGGCGCGCTATCAAGTTGATCGACCCATCGATGGAACGGTTGAGGTCCTCATGATGACGGCAACACCATCGCCTAAGTTCTCACAGCGACTCTCGCCCGGACACAGCTACGAACTCCGTAGCTATAGGTTCATTCTACAGTCTTAGTCTTCAGAAGTGTTGAAAACAATTGAGATGACGACTTTTTGGGACAAGTCGCGCGACCCCCGGCTTTGCGCCTGCGTCTACATGAAAATGCCTGTTCGTTTGGATCCCGCCTGCCGCGACGCCGCGTGATGGGCGATGATGTGCATGCATTGAAAGGGGGAACGATTGGAACCGGCATTTCATTGGCCTTTGTCTTGCATGTGGCTAGGCGAGCCTTGATCTCCAGTATTGCCCGGCTCATCCGTGTCCCCGTGGACTCACCTCGCCAGCTGATGTCCGTCGGCCAACTTTCATACGCCATTGCTCGACGATTGCTACCCGATGCCCCGTGTTCACACTCGACGCGATCACCGTTCGCACCCCTGGCGACATACAAGTCGATCGTAAGACTTTCCCTTAGTCGAACGTAGTTCCACTCTTGGACCCGTCGTCTGAACCGCCGGAGTCTGCCAATCGACAACGAAACGCATCGGAGCTTAGGTCGCCGCGAACATCGGCGCAGCAGCTGCCGCCCATCCGCACGCGTGGATCAGATGCTCCTCTGCTACCGACACCGTCGGCAGCGATGAGCGTGAGCCAATTTTCTCGGGTGCCGGTCCAGTCTGCGCAGTCTTCGCATCGCGCGCGTATCGATTACACGAACCTGTCCGCCGGCACCAGCCCGAACACATCCTGTTCGTCTCTTGGCCAAGCAGAACAGAGCTGGGCATGCTTCAACACAGCCAACGTTGCATGCCATCAGTGGTGTCCTACCTAGCGATGTGCGACAAGCAACCACGACAGCGGTTCCAACAGACCCCGAGCGTCGAAGACGGATCGCCATCTCAGTGTCGTGCCGGCGGAGGAAGCCGAATGTTTACGCGTTGGTGCCTCTCGAGACGACTTGGGGCGCTGTGCAGCCCCCTGTGAGCGTTCGGGGGTGCTTCCAAAGCGGCAGATGAGAAATGGAAGAAGGAATGCTGGAGCAAGTGCCAGGTACCGAGAACGGCGCAAAGAGAAGGAGAGCGAGTCTTCCGCCGCAGTCTCGAAGCTGCAACGGCAGATCGGGGAGTGGCTAGAAGACGTCGAGTACAACAGGCTTGAGCGGGACCACCTGGCTGAAATTCTCGCTCGTGCACCACATGGACTTCGACATCCTGGGCCGCCTTCTCCACGGCAGCGAATCACCTCAAAACTTTCCACCGCCACGACATATCGGCGTGAGATCGGCCACAGTCTCGACGGGGCAAGGGCAAACGAGCCATTGCCCTCCAGACGGTCGCAACGGAAGAAAATGAGTACGGAACATATCAATCCCAACTGAGACCGTTGGAGGCGGTTCAACGCGGCAGCCTACGAAGGGTAGAAAAAAGCTTCCGAGGCGACACTCACGCTGAAACTGGGGCCCCACCTGTTATGCCCTACTTCAGGGCTCCATCAACAGGGATAAGAGTAGGTGGCACGCGAAGGGTTTGTAGGAGGAAGGCCGACGGGGACTTCGTATACGAGATGTCAATAGACATTCTACGGCGTTCACTGTCTCTGTGTTGCACATTACTGCCTCACTGAGGTTTGAGAATACGGATTGCTTCCATCAGACTTCTCTCGACAGCACATGACCGTGGTCTTGCCGCGAGCGAATCAGTCTCAGCGCGCCACATGCGCAGAGACACATCCCCGTATCTCTCGACCCCCTTGCGAGGCATCTGGCGCCAACATCGAATGCCATTGGGGAGCCATGTTAGGGAAAGCCCCCCTTTCCGGCTGACTGGTCGGTGCCTGGTGGCTAGGACTTCGAGGGGTACAGCCCAAACCAACATGATGAGGATGACTTTGGACTATTTGGCGGCGGCGGTGGCGGTGTCTTCGAAGGCGGGCGTGGCGGTGCAGAACGAGGCGGCGACAGCGGCCGCGGTGGTGGCATTTGAATCTCAAGAGACGAGCATGCGGAGATGGCGTAGTTGATCTGCAGCGACTTTTCACACCTTTCGCAATGGTTCTGCATAGTGTTGTAGTGGACCTCGTGGTGTGCGCAAGTATCGCAGTCGGCTGCCAGGCGGCCGCCCATTCTTGCCAACGGGTTTTCGTACTCAGAATGTAGAGAATCTGGATATCGAGGCGGTCGTCTTCGCCACGAAGCCTGATGCACAGATCCACTACATCGTCTCCCATGCGCGATATAAGCATTGGCCACCGTGGTGGGATTTTGTGAAGGCAGTGGTTGCCCGACCAGTAGCGGGAGTAGGGTGCCGCTAGTGGCGTTCGGCCGACGGACCGTCGAACGCTAGCCGGGCTGGGCGATGTGATCACGTAGCGCGACCCTGTGTGAGATCGATGATCCACACAACGCGAGAGCCATCCAGCACGCCGAGATGGAACTCTGCAGCTAGCCCACGCTGCACGTGGCTGCGGGCTGCACCACCTCGTTGTGTTGAAGTGTTCTGGGCTTAATACGATCTCATCAAATACCTCCTCTATGCTCCACGGCAAGCCAAGGCGGGCACACCTGCATGTCTTCGAGTCGGACAGGAGCGGCCCCCGCTTATGCAAGTGCACGCCAGGCTGCAGCCGCCCTTGCATGTCCCTACAGCTGTGGCTTTGAAGTTCCCGCGCGAATCGAACGCGGCCGGAAACGACATCGAGAGTCATGTTTGGCCCAAGGGTGGTTAGGGCTGGAGCACGTACTTGTTCCACCCGATCCGGTCTCCCCGCGCCCCCGCCTCCACTCTTCCTGACCTCACTTTGTCTCCTCAGCAGAATCCGAAAGTGTTTACTTGAGGGCGAAAATGCCGTGCAAAGCACGACATGTTGTGTCTTCGCTGATCGCGCGGGATGGAATGGTCTCGCACACCACCGTCCAGGGTGGCCGGCTCACCCGTGCTGTATAACAACCTTACGAAAATTTCCGCCGCCTACATAGTCCATACCATGAAGCCTTTTAGACTTCGCCTGAGCGTCAGAGCAGCACAGCGCGCACCCAGGTCCCTGCCAACCTCTTCGAACGATCCAACGTCGCAGATAGCTATGACGTCGATGTACAGTCACCTGTGGTTTTACACCTGACCTCAGGGTACACCTCGGTCGTACCACGCGGTCGTTTGCCTTTGGGGCGTGGACGTCGCTCATCCGCCCGTCCAGTTTGAAGGACGCTGACTGGGAACGGACTCCGCCGTTGCTCCTGTGTACTATATCGCACGTGGACCATGCAATCGGAGGGCCGTGCGGAAAGGAGACGCTGGTGAGAGTGCCATAGGTTTCCTCCCGATCGCATTGCGGACCATCTTTGGTGATCATGACCGGATCATGGTTGATCGACATGTAGAGGACCCACACTGCGTCCGGTGAGCTAGCGAAGCGCCACTCGATGAGAAATGAGAATGTGCAAGTCGCTGGGTGCGGCGCGTCTGCCGTCTTCGTCTCCCTCCGCTTCTCGCACGGATCTCCGAACCGACCGGCTCAGCACCGCGATCCTTCCTCCCCTAGCTCACGAGACCACTCCGCACAAAATCCTAATTGAGAGCAGTCGAGCAACGCCATTGAGGCTCTGCCTTGACGTTGGACTGCCCGCGACCTGTGCGCCAGGGCTGCGCCAGAGTATACCTCAGCGGCAGACCAAGGCCTCTCGATTACATCAGCCCCATTCCTCCCATCGAGGAGAGTGGGTGCGTATGGTCCGGATGGTCGGGACTTGTACGCTACCACAGGCCCTTGGAGAGTGTGACCAGGTCATCGGTACGAAATCTGAACAGCAGCTAGCGGTGGTCATTGTTCTGCCAAATTTGGTGGCGTGACCTGTGACCATCGTAGACAAGGGTGACAAGCAGGGTCGTTCGACGACGGAGAGTCGCAATCACGAATGCCTGGCAGTAAAAGGGTGCTTGACCTCCCATACATTGGCATTCTGTCGCGCTCGATCTTCATCCCATGGAGTAGTAATGTTCCAAGGCAGCGCGTCTCTGAGGCTGGGCGCGTATTGAAACGCTGGAGTTTTGACCACCTGTCCAAATCTACTACACCGCTCTCCGGCTACGTCACGACGGCCGCGCGCTCGGGCAGACGTGCCATCATCCGACGACTGTAAAGACTGACAATCAACTGTACTCGGTGACGGTCGCCCATTCTAGATGACCAGCGATCACCCCTTCTCCGCGCAGAACGCGCCTCACGGCTCTAGTGGTTCCCACAAAACTAGTCTGGCAGGGAAGAGAAACCATGGTGAAGACTTCCGAGGAACCAGCCAGAAGCCCTTTGTGAGGTTATGGAAGCGAGCGCAGGAAAGGGTTCGAACGAACACCGCAAAGGAAGAGCAGGGCATGGTCAGCAGTAAACGAAGAGCGAACGGCCTTTCGCCTCCTGCGCTGTCGTTGGCGAGATCGATCAGAGGGTCGAACAAGCACCCTTCCGAAGCAGCCTTGGAACACGAACTTGACGAATGGGCGAACGCTGGAGCTGCGAGGGCAGGGACGCTAGATGGCGACGCACACGAGGCGGTTAAAGAGCCGTTGAAGAAGCTGGTGCCACCAGAGTATAGCAACCTACAACAAGGGGCGGACAGGCTCCCATCCATGGAAGTACAGCTGCATCTTGCCGGACTATTCTTTGACGTTGACAGCTGCCACATGTGCGTTCCACTGCGTAGATCGAGCTTTCTGAACGCACTGAAAGAGGGCAGGCATCCCCCCGTATTGGTGCTTGCAATCTGCGCGATATCTGCTCGATTGTCGTCGAATCCGGCAGCACGCGATGAGCCCGCTTACGCGCGAGGGGAGGCATGGGCAAGCGCTGCGGAGGAAATTGCAGTGCAAGCAATGGCCACTCCCGACACGACATTGGTGATTGTCTACCTGATGCTTGCGCAGGTCGAATACGCCAGTGCGCGCGGACAAATGCTCATTGGCATGGCTGTGCGGATGGCGTACGCACTGGGCCTGCACCACGAAGTTGTCCGTGATACATCTGATGGGAAGAATGGGCAGACACACACTGACCCGGAGATCCGGCGGCGGACGATGTGGTCGTGCTTCCTGATGGACCTTCTCCATCCTAGCAGCGTCGACGTACCCCCAGCTGTCTACGAGCAGGAAATCCGCTTGCGGCTGCCTACTAAGGACTCGTACTTTCAAGCGAACACCGAAGGAGCCCCAGAAGATCTCGAAGGCAACGTACCGAATGAAGGGGAGGCTCCAGCTGGTCGGATGGCTGACGAGAGGGAGAACATGGGCGTGACAGCCTACTTGATTCGGCTCATGAGCCTTTGGGGCAAGGTTGTTGCATATATTCGCGGCGGCGGCAAAGACAGGTACGGACACCCGATCATCGAGATGAAGCAGTAAAGGGAACGGTGGCGTTTTGTTGGGAGTGGCTAGACCAAGTCATGACAGATGGTGTCTATCGGATCTCGGGGAATCGAAGCGACTTCAAGTTCGTGCCCCAACTCGGCCACTTCCTATTCGATTTCGAAGACGGACGAGTGCGGAGCCATTGGGAGGACCGACCGTATCGGGTTTTATATCGAAGGGCAACAGCGGCTATCTCGTTTTTGGGAAGGGAGCTGAAGCAGACGTTCCGGGGGTGCTTTTGGAAGACGCTGTATCAGTACCACTGGATTCTGCCATACCCGTGTACAAATGCGTTGATGCAGACGACCAAGCAGGGACGGCGCATGTGGTACTCGATTCAAGCTCGAGAGGGAGTCAACGCTCAGACGGCGGAGGAGAAAGACTGGACATGGGCTCAAAAGAACTGGCAACCAGGCACACCGAGAGCGTGGCCATCATGGGTAGGATGGGACAAGGAGAGATGGGAGAGATGGATCGAGGAACACAGCGGTTGACCTTGGCGCGCATGCTTTTGCATATGGGACACATATCCCAGATGAACAACGCATCTGGGACCACAGGACCCAGCCGGATAGGAATAGTTATTAGGAAGAGCCTGCCCCGAGGAATCCCACGTTCGCTTTCTCCCCATTCAAAGTGGGCTTTGAGGCTCGTACAAAGTGATGAGGCGTACAAAGTGATGAGGCATACAAAGTGATGAGGCATACAAAGGTAGGTGACGAGCCGTCGAGCTCCGCATCCCATGCTAGGTAGGGGACCTTGTTGTCGAGCTTGCGGTGCCACAACAGAGAGACGGATCGTATCATCATCAAATAAGAACGGAAACGCTGGGAGGCCGATGTATGAGTTTGCATGCTTTGGAGACATGAGAGGAATCCAGGAAGAGAATCCGATCTGCTTCTGTAAAGGCAACATGCCGAGTCACGCGCAGGTGTCGCGACACAAGGAAAGCCCACCACACTCGCGGAAGCTATACTACGGATGCGCAGTTGGAGAATGCGACTCCTGGGAGTACATGGAGGATCGTGATGGAAACGCGGTGACACTTGCAAAAGCAACGGAGTTTGCAGCAGAATCATACACTAGGGCGTCTGCAACTTTTTAAGTCTTAGCTATAACATAATCTAACGACCTAACGTCCTTCTATTACTTGACCACCGGAATAACTATGCCAGGCATCAAATCATCGATCCATTGTTGATAAACAAGTTCAGGATCGATCTCGTCCCGATCCAGCAGAGCTCGCCATGCAAAGGGTTTGAAAGCCCAGATATCACCCCATCTCTCGCGAATTCGACGGTCGTAAGCTTCGTCCTCCCACTCGCATGGAGAGGACCCGACAACTTGACAGGTATGTTCGAAAGAATATCCCACCTGCCGGGCGTCTTTGAACCCGGAAGCCAAAGCAAGGTGATAGGACTCAGGACCTGAATTTGTGAATTGTCCGCCAAAGTTGTAATAGCCATCCTCGTGGATCGTAATCCAGGCGAATCCGCAGACCTGAAAAGCATCGAAATTCAAGTACTGCCACCGGAAGATTACGCCCGGGCGATCGACAGGTGTAGGTATGCTACTGCCCGTCCCTGGACATGCAGCAAATTTGTTGGGAGTGACGGCCACCGTCGTATTTGTAGGGATTGGTGATGACGACCTTGCAACCACGCCGCTAGGTGGTTCGAAACCTTGGGAAGATCCGACAATTGGGCTGGCTCCAACGAGCGCGAGGTAAGAGATTGTAGCCGTGAGAACTTCAAGAATCTCCATGTTGTGCCTAGTATATAGGATATGTGGAGTCGCTGCTTTTACTAGGCTCACTCCTGAAGTCAAAGAGTTGCAAGATTGAATAGGTAAGTTGTAAGATCTTTAGTGAGGTGGACGAGTCTCGTATAAATACCTCTCTCCAGACTCCGGTCGCATGGTCCACAAGTCGATCTCTCTGGAGTTCTCCGTCCAGTGTACGCTTCAAAAATCTCATTCTAGCCTATCACTTGGATTTTTAAGTGTAACGACTGCATCGAACGTCGTATTCCTAATCCACAATTACGAAGACGAGTCTTGAGGTAGCCAATAGGCTTGCGAAAGCTAATCAATCTACTCGACGTCGAAGCAGCTGAGCGAGTAGAGTGAATCTCCTAGGAAGCTGAAAACCAGGCCCACGTATCGAGAGTCTTTATAAGTAAGCGAAAACGAGCGAAAACTAATGCTGATGATGCCTTGGTCGTCTGCTAACACCTCACTGGTCCAATGGCCAGACCCAATAGCGTGACCTAGTCGCATAACACAATGGCCTGACTGGAAAGTTAGGTGGCTTACCGTGCTCTTTACAGAGACGTTCTCGTTTGTTGCGTGACCCAAGCTATCGAACAAGAAGAGGCACTCGCCAATACTACTACTGTAGACCACGCAGGCTCCGTCGAGTACAGCTCAGCCGCTGCTAAGCCACATTGATCAACTCACAACATTCATTGTAGGTGCTGAGTGATTGGGAGGATTCTCGATGTTTGAAAATAATACGGCTGGCTGAAGAAAGGGGACTACCGGAACCTCAGAGTTTCCGGGCCTTGGCAGAGCACTCAGTCCGCTAATTGGCTACTGGTAACACTGCCAAGCGAAGAAGGCTTTCAGGTAGAATCCTAGGTCGGGCCATTCTACAGTATAGCAAGACTGTCAACTGGAGGACTGGATTACAGCTCAGCTGGTGCAGAATTGCGAGGGTGTTGTGTGTGACTTGGCACTCCCACAGCAACTGCCGTTCCAATCCTCTCATTCGCTTTCGCCAATCAAAATGGCTCGTGACAGCATTGTGAGTGATCAGACATCTCTGTCGAAAAGAATGAGTGCGTTGAAAATGTGTGATGATCAGACGACTTTGGCCTGGCGCTTTATGCGTTGGAGGGCCGGTGTTTGAGGTTATTGGTCGGAGGTACGTCGAGAAGCAGTGCTCGCAGGTGCCTATTCATATACATTGAGCTCATATGAAGCGACTAAAATGTTCTATAAAGTGCGCAAGAGTTCACCCAAGTTTCGAAAAGAGATAGCAAAACCAGGCATTCCATTCCACCTCCATATTTTCGATCTATCGCGCTCAAACGTTTTCATAACGCTCCGTCAAACGCTTTAGTATCCTTACTCAAGTACTACTCTCCACCATGACTTGGATCAAATCGGCTCTGATGGCGGCCATCATGGCGTCGAACATCTTTGCAATGCCTTCCCCGCAACGTAGAAGCGTTGGTGATCATGGCACCAATCTTGAGGGTCCTGTAGATCCTACCAAGTGTCCTGGAGGAGATGGGTGCGGTGAGTTCGATCCGCGATGAACAAACTCGCTTCTCGTTGGGCGGAGATGCTAATAGTTCGTAGGTATTACGTCTAGATCGACTGCGGAGCAGGACGATGACCCTCAGGACGATATTACTCTTCTGGAGGCAAGCTTTACGATTGACAGTGTAGAGAAGTCTGACATCAGCACGTCCAACGCTATGCCCGCCAGCGTCTTAGACGACTCCTGGTATTACAATGCGACTCTCCGCTACAAGAAAGCAGGCAGCAGACCAGATAAACATGCTGCATTCGCATATGCGCAGCTGGATTTGGATGCCCAGAAGAGAGATGAGCTCTCCGACGTCAATTCCCCTCCGGAATCCATCACAACTGGAAAGAAACCCGTCAACATTGTCTCTGTACATGGTATAGAGAAAGTCTTCCACTCCAATTCAGGAGGAAGCATGCGAGCGGGCAACGCTCTGCACGCGGTCTCCTTCGACGAGCACAGCAATACAGTCGGCGGCGAGAGCTGGTTCTTCACATGCAGGTTGCGAATTCTGTATCATCATACTTATACAGACGGGGATTTCAACGTGTTGAGAGGGTATCTTGTGCAAAGTGGTGAGAATGTCCTGAACGCGATCGGATCTATCGCTTAATTAGCTCTCGTACCTATATGTAGCTTCGGTTGGGAAATTTGCTTGGTCTCCACTACCACTACTCACAATGCCGAAACGAGCTACTACTCCTACTCACCTAGATGCTCGAATCCAGCATTATAAGAGATGGTTCAGAACTTGATTTGGACCCCTGGGTAGATGTGGTTCACGCCGGTAGCATCTCGTAGCAGCACCCCTTCAGATGGTTGAGAACAGCTGCTCCAGGCAAATGTACTCCGAACAGGCCCAAATTCGAGCAAACGACAGTCCGAATTTCTGCGAGCACGGTTTGTATGGACCGACACCCTATATATTAACGACTTTTTAGAACTTTTTAAGAGTTCCTACAACTAGTAGACGAAGGTATCGAGTAGTTCAAATAAAAATTCAAGTGAAAATAGAAGTAGATATAGAGGTAGATATAGAAGTAGATATAGAAGTAGATATAGAAATAGACATAGAGGTAGAGAAAATAAAGAAAATATATATCAGAAAAAAGAAAAAGAAAAATAAAGAAAAATAAAGGAGAATTAAGAGAGAATAGAATAAAGAGAAATATAGAGGAAAAAGAAGAAAAGGAATAGAAAATAGTAGTAAGGATACTGATCCCTATTACACGAATAATCCGAGTACTTCAAACATTCTAGGTCCGTATTTCTCAGCACTATTAGAGGCACTTCTAAGCACGTGTAGCGCTAGTAATGCCGCCTTAACGCGTCCTTTACGCGGCTTTCTTTGTTGCCTTCGCGTCTAGGACTAGCTCGTCATCTATATGTCGCTATGGAAATTCTCGACTATTGCTCGCACTACCGGGTCCTCTTCTATACCTAATGCAAGACCGCCCTTATCCCGGGAGGAATTGGGACACATCTACGCAAACTCTACTCTAGCTACCCCGCGCTCGTATCGAACAAGCTAGTACTCGAATTCGTAAGAGAACGGCTCCCTTAGATTATAACGGGACCCTTACTCGACCCGTATTCGGAGTACCTAGACCTACCGACGGAAGTATGTAATCCGCTTCTACATCTCAAACTTTACTAGGGATTTAGCTATAGACATTGCCTATTCGTTTCGGGAGCGCCTAAAACGATTCGACAACATTATAACGAACACTACGCTACCGTTCGGAGGGTAAGGGGTAGCTAGAAATGCTCCGGTAGTCGCGTTCTTCGAGAGTAGCTCGACCGCGAGTACTTCGGCGAAGAGCCGCCGTAGGAGTCGGTCTAGTTCTAGCGCTTCTTCCGGAACGGCTATAGAAGTACCGGGTTTCGAGTAAAGCTTAGTAAAGGTGTAGTCCCTCTAGACTAGGCGCCGGCGATACTAACTTAAGGCCTAGGGCGGTATAAGCTCGACGCTATCACAAGCGATATGTTTTAAACACTAGTAACCTTTAAGTAGTAGAGGACGTAAAGTACCTCGATCTTTTAGGATATAGAGGTAAGATTACAAGTATCGCCCTAGCTAGAAAGGACCCGATGGAAAAACTATTTCTACGGCGTATACCTTCGTAACGCCGCTTAGCTCGCTATATTGCCTAAGCTAGACGAACCGGTACTTAGCGAACTTGTAGTATCGATCGACCGGCTCGTCGAGTTAGTATATAGGTCGGTCTACGAGGATAAAATCAACTTCTTTACGTAGAAGTGTATTAGCTTATTCCTACCGGCCAAAAAAGCGTATAGCTAACCGCTGATAGTAAAGCTATAGAAGGCGACATATCGGTAATACAAAGAATTGTGGAAGCGGCTCTTGTGTTTCGTAGTCCGGTCGTACGAGTAGGGCTAGTCGATCAACCTCTATTATCGACTAAATAGCTAGTAGACGGCTTTGCTAGATTGCCTCCTTAACGCGGGGATAAAGTAGTCGAGCGACATCGAAAATCGGGAGGAGAGCGCTAATCTAGACATATATAGCTAGTAGTTGTAGCATCTTGATAATATCTGCCTAGACTTTTGTATTTCCCTTCTCGACTACAAATTGAAAGGCGACATCTTTAAGAGTACCGTAGTTGGCTTTCTCGCCGTTCTTAGTATCGATTAAAGCAATTCTACCTTTTACGAAGCGCCAAACTACACCTCGAAGCTTTCGGGTTTCATTAAGATCGGGTAAATACTAGTTCTATAGAAAGTAGTTAGGAGGGTAGATCGGAACGACAACGACAATCCGCTCGATACTATCGATAAGATACGAGAGCGCTTCC